TTCTAAATTGAGTAAATTTTATAAACTTTTTTAAATATTGGTAACGCTTAAATAGCACTCCCAAAATGTGATATATGTGCACTTAGCCCTATTTTTTTTAACTTTCCATTAAAAAAAGATTTCTTTTTCTTTTTCTCTTTTTATTTAAGTTCATTTGTCTGGGGAGAAAAGATTCAAATAAGTTTTAGTGTGACTTTTCTTTTTGGGTAAGGAGGGACGTGGGAAAGGCTATGATGTCACTCAAACCACACAGACAAGGTGATCTGACATGAGGAGCTTGGTGGCAAGTTGTAAGTATATCTCTTAGGCGTTCACCTCTTTCTTTACTAAAGCATGGTGATTAATTGTCGGGAACGATGCAATCACTCTCAACTATTTAATATAAGTACAATTTCTCTTATTTTTATTTATTGCTTTGGCTATTCGCTAAGAACTATACTAACTTGGGCATTAGATAAGGTTTCACATCGCTATGGCGAGTTGATGTCTAGGCTAATACATTTGCATTTTCATTTAATAAATTCTAGCAAAGTACTAAAAGTAACCAACCATGAGGAAGAAGATTGCAGACGACAAAGCACATATATAAAAAGTATCAATAACGAAGATAATGATAGCCTAATTGTTGGAATTCAGTAAAGAACTCGAGGGTTAAATAGCTGGATCAGGAGCTTTACAGAGAAGCTCGAGAAAATCAACAATGGTGACGAGAGAAAGAGGATTAATTGAGAGAATTTAGAGAGTTATTTGTAATAACTGTTTACTGATGGTTGTAATTTCTGAAGTATAATATTCTATAGAGATTGCAATGAATCATGATTGAATAACAATCGCATCTCTGCTCTCAGCTAACTATAACCAACTCAACTAACTATTGTAACTAACTCTAACTGACTCTAACTGACATGGCTTTTTAACTAACTAATTGTATCAGAAGTTGTATTTTGTGTATCAATACGTCATCCCACAAAAAATCCTTGACCATAAAGATCAAAATGTGTGAACCTTGTCTTTAGGACATTGAAGAATTCCCAAGTAGCGTGATTTGCGGACAGTCCTATCCACTTAACAAAGACCTAGCCACTGCATTATCCCCCTTTTCATCATTTTCCTTTACAAATTTGATTTAGGGCTAGGACAACGAGGACTAGCAATATAAATGATAGGAGGGGTTGATATTTGAGGAGGCACTTCATAGCACCTTTTCAATAAAGATACATATATATTAGGATGTCGCACTGAAGATAGAAAGAAAAAAAGTATAGGCTATTGGTCACATTCTCTTGACAACCTCGAAAGGACCATAGTACTTTGAAGCTAACTTGTACAATGATTGCGTTAATAGGCTAATATGTTTGTAAGGCTAAATCTTCAAGTACACCCAATATCCAACATTAAATTGTTTGTCATTTCTACGAGAATCATCTTGTTGTTTCATCCTTAGACGAGCTCTTAACAGGTGATGATTAAGCAGTTACAATTTCAATTCCTTATTCAACAATATATTATCAACATCACTTGAAGTTGATTCTCCTGATAAGTAAGGTAAATGTAGTGGTGGTGGTGGTCTTCCATAGAGTGCCTCATAAGGAATAGTCTTAATAGCAGAGGGGTAGGATGTTACGATCCCAAAATCCCACCTTAGGTAGTGACGAGCACAAAACACAATACGAAATTGATGCTCGTTAGCGAAAGATAGTATAGTTTAATTATCGTCTCCACGGGGATTGAATTTAAACAATGCTCAAGGAATTTTTAGCTTAACGCTATTCAGGATAATTAACACTTTGGTTGGGAGGATTAATAACTAGAATTAACTATGAAACTAAAACAACTAACAATTGATCACAAAAATACAAGGGTTGAGCAACACAAAATATCAATGAGAGAAATAAGGGTCATGACAGGATAAGTGAAAGATATCTATTTAGGATCTAACTCTAGTTCAATTCACTCTAAAGTTCTAATGATTCTCACGAATTCATTCGATGATTTAGTTCAAACATGTAGTCAAGACTCCTCTCTTGATTAAATTTTAACTCTGCGAGGTGAACCAATATAAGCACTGTGAACATATGCAAGCATGCGTTAATGGATTAGTCTTCAGGAAACGTCTCTCGAATATTCTCCTAACTTGATTTAATCAACAATTTAACAAGCTCTTTCGATTACTTAAAAGAATCATTGAATTAAACCAAATAAAATAATGCAAATATAATCACCAAAATATTACTCTTTCGATTAAATAAATTGGTGAATAAAGTTACAATCAATTCAAAGCTCCATAAACGAATTCAAGCAAAGAACTAGAGTTAAAATCTATAAATATTAATCAAAATACCATATCCATCAAACTCTATGGTAAACTACTCCATATTTATGGAGAAATTCATCACAAATAAAGTTGAATAATAAGAAAACACGAATTCAATCCAAACTCCGGTATTGTGTTTGAGAAAAGAATGATGAATCTTTGTGCTTTGAGTCTCAAATGCTCTTCAATCTTCTGTAGGTCAAAAGTATCTTCAAAAAATATGTTTCCAGCGTATTTATACCAAGTAGGAACGAACACGGTGAAACTACCTGCTTTGCGCCGAAGTAGGAAAACCTGCAAATATTTTACTCCATGCGTCGCACAGTGCTACGTAAGGTGTGTCACATTAGTGCATTTTGCTCGGTTGTAAACTCTCTGAACTTAGCTTGTCTGACAAACTTTTGTACTAATGTGTCGCATTATGCCACGCGTTATGCATCGCACTAGTGTATTTTTCTGCCAGTCCCAAAAACTACAAGTCTCTGAACTTCTCAAATTTCCGACAAACATTTGTACTAATGCGTCGCTCTATGCCACACCTTATGCGACACACTAGTATATTTTGCTCCAGCTCATACGCTTTCTTTCAACTTTCGTATGCAACGCCGGTCCACGAGCCCCGGACGCGATCCGGGTTTAATTCCTTAGGGTTTTACTCAGACTTCAAAGCTCCAAATTATTCGATTTAGCTCCAGAACACCTTCTTAACTCGGAATCATCTCCTACAAAGCATAAAACATATTTTAATTGAAAATAATCATCATTTAAGCTCAAACACGCTCAAAGTGCAGTAATTAGAGTGCAAAATACGGCTAAAACACGTGTTCCTAACCTACCATCAATACCCCACACTTAAACCATTGCTTGTCCTCGGGAAATCAAACGACACTTCACATAGAGACGACCTTCTCATTAGACAACTTCTATAATGCATCATGTCAAGAATATTTAAAGCAGACTAAGCACCATATCATAACATCCTAGCCTCAAGACTTGACTCACACGTGCCACGTATTTCAAAAACCTACTCACTTACTCTAACTCAAAGGCCAAAGATATTACCTTTCCTTCGAAAATTATGTGCCCTCACACCAAAGATAGAGAGTAGTTCCACACATAATAAAATTCAAGAACAAATAGAAACTCAAGATAGAAAGAATTCACGCACTCTCATAATTAAAATTCATGTGACACAGAGGACGCACCATATGCTTGCCCGTAGTATCGTACTCTAATAATTGAGCTCATTCAGTCAAAGATCAAGTAGGACTTTATTTGGTTGTAATGTAGGATGCGGGACGGGTAGTATACATTTGGATATAGTGACTACACCTCCCTAAGTACTTTAATACATATACATTAACAATTTAAACCCCAACACTTGTGTTGAACTAAACACCAACCCTCACACATAATAACATCAAGATCCCAATTTCTTTAAGCACAGACACAATGCAAGCATACCACTGGCAATGAATCTTTTTTTCTTTCTAATACATATACAAACTCTTTTTCTTTTCTTTCTAAGTTCTGATTCTTTTTTCTTCAAGCAACTTCATTGTTTCTTCTTTCAATTCCTTACAAGTGACTCTCCTAAATTTTCAAACAGCGTACCTATCTCCATATTTCTTAGTTCCACTCGAAAACCCAACCATACCTCCACTTAGCCTTTCACAAGCTCATAACAATGTCAAGTGCTCAATAGAGGTAAAATGTTCAAGCAAATAGCCAATTCAAATAAAATGGATCAGGCTTGTAGTGTGGTTACCAAAGAAGTAGGATTATAAGCTCAAAGGAGATACTAGGATACATAATAGTTAGGCGGGTCATAAACGTATAATTGGCTCAACAAAGAAATGCTTATATCACTTCCTAGACTGAACAAGACTACTATTTTGCTTTACAAACATACGGGGCAAGTTCTAGACATCAACGGACATACACAGAATATCAACAAAATCTCATACACACATTGGCATATAACTCACTTAGGGCCAGATCTATCCCAACTCTCTAGTCAAAGCAGTTAAGCAACATCAAAATCAACCAAATTCATGCACTTATACATGAGTTAAGAACTGAGCCTAGGCATCACAAATAAGGCACCCACTACTCTCAAGGCATAACAAAGTCAAGAAAAGTCATGTACATTTAATACCATAGCACATGACTTCACTATTCCTAATAAAAGAAAAACTAACTGCATTCGGTTCAAGCAAAACCCTTGGAAAAGAATCGCGACACAAGAAAACCAAGGAGAAATTATTACACTGCCTAAGAAAAACAAAATTTATTTTTTTATTCGACTTTGATCCCTCAAGAAGACAGTCGAGAAAATCCATCATCGGGAAACACAAGAAAACAAATATACATGTACATATTTATATCCCCACCCCACACTTTAAATTGAGGCATGTACCCATGACACACAAATAAAAATCAAGAGGCAAATAAAACTCTCATGATTCATCTAGTCAGGGTCTGAATAAAAGTCGGGATCTCCTTTGCATGCCCGACCCAGTGCACACGTCCATGCTGAGAGCTTTTTTTTTCCTTCTTTGGGTACACCCCACACTTATCATGTTTACTCTTTCCAGCTAGTTCTTTTAGGGGCCCCATTGCTTCTTCCATCTTAAAGACTACCCTTCTTTCCCAACTCTGAGCATGAGCTGCCTTGCTTGAATGTCTAGAATCGCTTTGCCAGTAGCCAAGAAGGGTCTCCTAGAATCAAAGGGACTTCCCTATTCTCTTCCATGTTCACCACGATGAAGTCCACAAGGAACACAAATTTGTCCACCCGAACTAGCACATCTTCCACTATTCTTTCAGGTATGATTGTGGTCTGATCCGCCAGCTGCAAGGACACATATATCGATCAGATTTATCCAATTTTCCCTCCAATTTCATGTAAATAGACAGGCATAAGGTTAATGGAAGCGCCTAAATCACACAAAGATTTTTCAAATTTAGTACTTCTTACAGAGCAAGGTATAGTAAAACTCCATGAATCTCCACACTTTTGATGGAACTTATTTTGTAGAATGGCACTACAATGCTCTGTGAGCTTGACTACCAATGTCTCCTCGACTTTCCATTTGTTGGAAAATATCTCCTTTAAGAACTTGGCATATGCTGGCATCTGTGAAAGCACCTCTGTGAAAGGTACATTAACATGCACCTGCTTGAGTACTTTTAGAAAATACCCAAATTGCTTGTCCAACTTCTCTCTTCTGTGCTTCTGAGGGAAAGGTAGAGCAGACATATATTTACTCTCTTCGATCTCATCATTACTTTTTTGTTTGTCTTTCTTCTTCTTTGTTGGAACTTCAGATTTATTCTTCTTCTTCAGATCATCCTCTTGCTCTGCCCTCACTTCATTCCTACGATTCTCATCACTTTTTTGCTTTCCTTCATTCTTAACTTGATTTCCCGTTAACTCATTCTTCTCTGCTACCAACAGACCTTGCAATACTTTTCCATTCCTCAAAGACACTACATTTATTATTTCCTTTGGATTCCTTTTGGTGTCCGCATGGAGGGTTCCTGGAGACCTCTCGGATAACAGACTAGCAATCTGCCCCACTTGCCTTTCTAAGTTTCGAATAGTTGCACCATGAGTTTCACATCTCTCATCCGTCTTAATAATAAAAGCCTTCATTAGATCTTCCATGCTAGACTGATTAGAATATGAAGGCTGGTATTGCTGCCTTTGCTAATTCTAAAATCCTGGAGCTTCGTGTCCCTGGGGTCTCAGATTATTCTACTGCCATAAAGTTAAAATTATTACCACTCTGGTAGTTGCCTCTATCAAAACTTCACACTTCATCTGCAGGTGAGGTCAGACACTCATGCGTTGGATGACCCATTCCATAAAAACCACAAATCAAGGATTACTGGCTCTGGACCTTGGCAAAGGTTAACTTTCTTATCTCTCTGGCCATAGTGTCTAGTTGGGGTTGCACTGATGTGTTAGAATCCACTTGATGTACCCCAACCCTTTTCCTTCTCTCGTTATCATCTGAAGGCCATTAAATTTGCATCTTCTGATAATTCATTTAGAATTATAACAATCTCCTCAGGAGTTTTCTTCATAAAAAAACCTCCAACTGCATTGTTTAGCGTCCTTCTACCAGAGGGTGTCAGCCCATCCTAGAAATCTTGGAGTTGTATCCACAAGTCTACTCCGTTATTTTGACATCTTCTCACAATATCCTTAAGTCTTTCTCATGCTTCAAACACCATTTATGTATCCTTCTGCTCGAAGTTGTAAATCTCTCTTCGAATTTTCCATGTTTTTGCAACTGAAAAATATTTGTAAGGAACTTCTTGTCATGTCTTCCCAAGTTCGAATTGACCCAGTCGGCAAACTCCGCAACCAGTGCTTAGCATCTTTCCTCAATGCAAAGGAAGTGTCCTTAAGTAGATAGCATCTTTCGATACAACATTGTGCTCGAAGGTATTCATAATCTCATCAAAATCCATCAAATAAGTATTTGGATCTTCGTTTGGTTTGCCTCAGAAGGCACAATTGTTCTGAATGGTCTAAAGTAGCCCTTGCTTGATCTCAAAACTATTGGTCGCGATTGGAGGAGGCCGCACACAGATACTCCTTGGTTGTAGACTGGCTTGGCATATTATTTTCAAATTCGTCTTCAACTAGAGGCCAGTTCAGGTTGAATCTTCGTCCTCCATTCCCGTCCATCGTTTCACCACCTCTGAGAGTTGCTTAAGCAACTGCCCGTGCGACTGCTTCCGGTTGGGCTGCTTTCCATGCAACCAAATCAACTATCTCCTCACCGTTCTTAGCCATGTTCTCTTGGGTTGAAGATTGCCCCAAGAATTTCCCTGTGAGTTCTTTCTCTTTCCTCAACTGTCGCATATTCTTTTCCACCTCTGGATCATATGGGATGACTTCTTTTGAAGAAGATCGAGTCATACACCAAAGAATTTAACATGTTATCTGCACACGGAAGAGAAAAATCTTGAAGAATAAAATAAAATTGGTTCCTGAATTAGCATCAAAAACTATTTTGAACACTATTGATTGCCAATCCTCGGCAACGGTGCCAAAGTTTGACGAGCGCAAAACATAATACGAAATTGATACTCGCTATCCAAAGATAGTATAGTTTAATTATCATCTCCACAAGGATTGGATTTAAATAATGCTCAAGTAATTTATAGCTTAACGCTATTCAGGAAGATTAACACTTTGGTTGGGAGGATTAATAACTAAAATTAACTATGAAACTAAAACAATTAACAATTGATCACAGAAATACATGAGTTGAGCAACACTGAAATATCAATGAGAGAAATAAAGGTCATGATAGGATAGATGCAAGATAGCTATTTGGGATCTAACTGTAGTTCAATTTACTCTAAAGTTCTAATGATTTTCACGAATTCACTCGATGATTAGTTCAAACGTGTAGTCAAGACACCTCTCTTGATTAAATCTTTACTCTACGAGGTGAACTAATATAAGCACTCTGAACATATGCAAGCATGCGTTAATGGATTAGTCTTCAGAAAAACGTCACTAGAATATTCTCCTAACTTGATTTAATCAACAATTCAACAAGTTATTTTGATTACCTAAAAGACTCATTGAATTAAACCAAACAAAACAATGCAAAGATAATCGCCAAAATATTTTTCTTTTGATTAAATAAACTTGTGAATAAAGTTGCAATCAATTCAAAGCTTCATAAACGAATTCAAGCAAAGAACTAGAGTTAAAATCCACAAATATCAATCAAAACACTATATTCATCAAACTCTAAGGTAAACTACTTCATATTCATAGAGAAATTCATCTCAAATAAAGTTGAATAATAAGAAAACATGACTTCAATCCAAACTTTGGTGTTGAGTTGAGGAAAGAATGATGAATCTGAGTCTCTAATGCTCATCCAATCTTCCATGGGTCAAAAGTATATTCAAAGACGTGTTTCCAATGTATTTATATCAAGTAGGAACGAAGCCGAACGAAACTACCCACTTTGAGCCGAAGTGGGAAAACCTGCAAACTTTTTACTTCATGCGTCGCACAGTGCTACGCAGGGTGCGTCGCATTAGTGCATTTTGCTCGGTTGTAAACTCTCTGAACTTAGCTTGTCTGACAAACATTTGTACTAATGTGTCGCACTATGCCACGCGCTATGCATCGCACTAGTGTATTTTCTGTCAGTCCCAAAAACTATAAGTCTCTGAACTTCTCAAATTTCTGATGAACATTTGTACTAATACATCGCTCCATAGAGTGCCTCATAAGGAGTAGTCTTAATAGCATAGGGGTAGGATGTCATGACCCAAAATCCCACCTTAGGTAGTGACGAGCGCAAAACACAATACGAAATTGATGCTCGCTAGAGAAAGATAGTATAGTTTAATTATCGTCTCCACAGGGATTAGATTTAAGCAATGCTCATAGAATTTCTAGCTTAACGCTATTCAGGATAATTAACACTTTGGTTGCGAGGATTAATAACTAAAATTAACTATGAAACTAAAACAACTAACAATTGATCACAAAAATACAAGAGTTGAGCAACACCCAAATATCAATGAGAGAAATAAGGGTCATGACAGGATAGGTGCAAGATAGTTATTTAGGATCTAACTCTAGTTCAATTCACTCTAAAGTTTTAATGATTCTCACGAATTCATTTGATGATTAGTTCAAACGTGTAGTCAAGACTCCTCTCTCGATTAAATCTTAACTCTACGAGGTAAACCAATATAAGCACTGTGAACATATGCAAGCATGCGTTAATGGATTAGTCTTCAGGAAACGTCTCTCGAATATTCTCCTAACTTGATTTAATCAACAATTTAACAAGCTCTTTCGATTACTTAAAAGAATCATTGAATTAAACCAAATAAAATAATGCAAATATAATCACCAAAATATTACTCTTTCGATTAAATAAATTGGCGAATAAAGTTACAATCAATTCAAAGCTCCATAAACGAATTCAAGCAAAGAACTAGAGTTAAAATCTATAAATATTAATCAAAATACCATATCCATCAAACTCTATGGTAAACTACTCCATATTTATGGAGAAATTCATCACAAATAAAGTTGAATAATAAGAAAACATGAATTCAATCCAAACTCCGGTATTGAGTTTGAGAAAAGAATGATGAATCTTTGTGCTTTGAGTCTCAAATGCTCTTCAATCTTCCGTAGGTCAAAAGTCTCTTCAAAAAATATGTTTCCAGTGTATTTATACCAAGTAGGAACAAACACAAATGAAACTACCCGTTTTTCGCCCAAGTGGGAAAAACTGCAAACGGTTTACTTCATGTGTCGCACAGTGCTACGCAAGGTGCATCACGTTAGTGCATTTTGCTCGGTTGTAAACTCTCTGAACTTAGCTTGTCTGACAAACGTTTGTACTAATGTGTCACACTATGCCACGCGCTATGCGTAGCACTAGTGTATTTTTCTGTCAGTCCCAAAAACTACAAGTCTCTGAACTTCTCAAATTTCTGATGAACTTTTGTACTAATGCGTCACTCCATGCCATGCCTTATGCGACACACTAGTACATTTTGCTCCAGCCCATGCGCTTTATTTCAACTTTCGTATGCAACGCCGGTCCACGAGCCCCGAACGCGATCCCGGTTTAATTCCTTGGGGTTTTACTCAGACTTCAAAGCTCCAAACTATTCTATTTAGCTCGAGAACACGTTATTAACTCAGAATCATCTCCTACAAAGCATAAAACACGTTTTAAGTGAAATTAACCATCATTTAAGCTCAAACACGCTCAAAGTGCAGTAATTAGAGTGCAAAATGCGGCTAAAACACGTGTTCCTAGCCTACCATCAGGTAGTCATGATGGCACCTATTCACTGAGACTAGGTAAGCCTAACATATGCTGAGAATTAATGCAATTTAACTAACTTAACTGTAATACATTAGTTAATAACTGAAACAACTCATCTGAACCATCGTCGGTCATACAATCCCAAAACCGCTAGTACAAGTCATAATCTTTCCTAAGAGTAACTAGGAATACCAAGTACATCACTATTCCAAAACAATAGTAAACAGTGGATATAAAAGACAATAGAAGGTGACTTCCGGGGCTTGCGAACATCAAGCAGGTATACCTTGAAGTCTCCAGTCGTACATACATAAGTCTAAAAACCAACTCGATCAGAAGTACTAGATCTTCACAAAAAAATGTGCAGAAGCATAGCATGAGTACACCACAATGGTACCCAGTAAGTATCAAGCCTAATGCCGGTAGAGTAGTGACGATGCCAGGTCAAGGCACCTACTAGACATAGAAACCTATGCAGGATATAACATATAACGAACAATGAAAATAACATCAATGTAAGACCAATAGTGGAAGGATCACAATTTACAACCGACAGTGAAAATAATAGAAGCATAATGGAAACAAGAAGTAAACATGTAATAAAGCAACAACATAGTTAGAATACATATGAAATATGTATGAACTCAAGTAAGAAAAATCGATGACAAACTCAATTAATCAAATCGTTCCTAATACATGAATTACAACAAGAGTTAACCTGAGGTACCACTTCTCGTAGTCACAAATCATGAGTCACAATTTTTGAATCTTACACGTATGGCACCTCGTGCCCCTCAATAGCAATCACCTTCGTACGACAAAGTCCTCA